CTGGATTTTTGATTGATAAACCCGAAGGCAGTAGGGTGATTAAATGCAAATGGGTTTTTAAAAGGAAAGAGGGCATACCAACGGTAGGAGCACCTAGGTTTAAAGCAAGATTAGTGACAAAAGGGTTTACACAGGTTGAAGGGGTGGACTACAATGAGATTTTTTCGCCTGTAGTGAGACATACCACCATTAGAATACTGTTATCTTTGGTAGCTCAGTTTGGTTTGGAACTAGACCAGTTACACATAAAAACAGCCTTCTTAAATGGTGATTTAGAAGAGAAAATTCTAATAGAACAGCCTGAACTATTTGAAAAGGGGCCTAAGAACCAAGTCTAACTTTTTTTTTTTAAATCCTTGTATGATTTGAAGCAGTCGCCTAGGCAGTGGTATAGGAAATTTGATTATTTTATGTTGAATGCTGGTTTTATCCGAAGTAGCTTTGATGGTTGTTTCTATTTCAAATGTTTATATGGTGAATGCTACATATACTTGTCTCTATATGTGGATGATATGCTGTTAGCTTGTAAGGATTTTTCTGAAATTGATAGATTCAAAAGGGAAATGAGTAAACATTTTGAGATGAAAGATTTAGGACAAGCTAGAAAGATTTTGGGTATGAACATTGTAAGGGATAGGAAAACTGGAAGACTTATACTGTCACAGAAAGGGTATGCTGGAAAATTAATCAAGAAGTTTAACATGCTTGACTCTAAACCTGTCAAAACACCATTAGGTCTACATTTTAAACTTAGTGTAACCCAATATCCAAAAACTGAAAAAGAAAAGAAGGAAATGGCTTGTATACCATATGCAAATGCAATAAGGAGTCTGATGTACTTAATGGTCTGAACTAGACCAGATTTGGCTTTTGCAGTTAGTTCAGTTAGAAGGTTCATGAGTAACCCTGAAAAGACTCATTGGGAAGCTGTAAAAAGGGTACTTAGATATGTGAAGGGTACACTGTCCACTGGTATTGTTTACAGCAGAGGGCAAATTAAGGAGAATCCCATCTTGGGATGTGTGGATGCTGATTATGCTAGAAATGTAGACAATAGGAAATACATGACTGGTTTCTATTTTACCATTTGGAATAATCTGGTTTGCTGGAAAGCTAATTTGCATGCTATTGTAACTTTGTCCACCATGGAAGCAGAGTATGTTGCAATTACAGAGGCAGTCAAGGAGGGTATGTGGCTTAAGGGAATGCTTGATGAGATGGGACGGGTTCAGCAACAAGTTCCAATCAAGAGTGACAGTCAAAGTGCCATTTTTCTGTGCAAAAATCAGGTTTTTCATGAGAGGTCGAAACACATAGATGTTAGACTGCATTTCATTAGAAACGTGATTGAAGATAAAGTCATTAAGGTGGAGAAAATTCCTGGAAAGGAAAACCCAGCAGATATGTTTACTACATCAATGACTTTGGACAAGTTAAGGCTCTTTAAAAGCCTTCTGCATATTAAAGAGAACTAAAGGATTTTTTCCAGGGCAGTAAGAAAGGGAGAAGATTAAATGCCAAGGTGGAGATTTGTTGTGATGTGGCACTTGATATTCACACATGTGGAAGTCAACTTTTACCTTGGGTGGTCAATGTTAATTGTTATTGACTTAAAGGGCATTTCAGTCTTTCTAGCATCTTCAATAAACCTAATCTGACTTAGGGTTTGCGCAGCTCATTCTCGATCATTCTCTCTTGGTTTACAGAGAGAGAAAGCGGTTGGAATATGTTGTGCTGGAAATCCGAAGAACGTCGATGGAATCAAACGGTGATGGTAGGTCTTAGCTGTCCTATTTGTCATTCCCTTTGTTTGCTGTATAAATGGCCTCTAATTTCTATCTATTTGATGATGTATGAGTGGTGAGAACATTTGGATGTACGAGTGTAAAATCAGAGGGGTTTTCTCGGGTTGTACCTTGTGTAAAGGGGGTGAGCCTAATCTCTGTAAGGTTTCTCAATTTCTTATAGTGGATTCTATTTTATTTGCCCTGAAGAGTGGATGTAGGTAATCTTCCAGATTACCGAACCACTATATATCTGGTGTTCTTTATTTTATTGCTTTTCTGTTTTTATCTGATTATTGCTGTAAATTTGTGACTTTGGCTTGGATTCAAATATTGCATACTGTTCTGTTTTTGGTTCTCATGTTACAACATTAAGGTTGGCTAAGTTTGAGACATTGAGCTCGAGCTCGAGCTCGGCATAGAAAAGGTGAGCTTCAGCTCGACCGAAGCTCAAGCAAAACCTGCTCGATCCAATCCCAAACCAATGAAAGATGTCATTTTTTCCTTCAAATTCACATCCTGGTAATGATTCAACTTCAACCCGCCTTGTCGTCCTGGCCTAACGACGGGGAAATCTGCACTGATGAGTTATCGCATTCTGTCATAACCATCCTTTTCGACTCAAAAGGCTATGTCATTCCATGTTACCCAACAACAACACCACCCATGTCGTGACAATAAAATGCAATCACCATTAACAATAACGTACCTCGAAGGCTCGATTCAATGGTGTGTCGGGTTTGGAATTATGACAAAACCTTGTGTTGTTCTTATGTTGCTTTCGCCTTCTAGAGTACGACGCCATGGTCATATCGATTGTGTTGTGTAAAAGAATCTAGAAGGGAGTACGGCGCCATAGAAAGTAGGGTTTTTTTATGTTTTAATTGGAATTCGATTTTTACATATTTGGGAATAAGGGTGTGTTTGTCGTTTTTACAAACCGGTAAATTATATACCCCTAGTAGTTGCAAAACTAGCGTATATACCCTTGAGCTTGTTGAAGCTTGCAATCTGGTCGAGTCGAATATCGAGGAGCTCAAACTCGACTCAACTCAACTCAATCAGCAAGTTGAGCTCGAGCTTTTCTCGAGCCAAGCCCAAGCCGCTCGCGAGCAGCTCGGCTGGACTAGCACCCCTAAGGCTTTCCAAAACCATTTAGGGGGTTACATGTTATTTTAGATGGAGAGTTATTTTTAATTTTGTAAATTTCATATAATACACTCATGTCAGCTAGGTTGGGTTTTCTTTTACATCACTATAGATTTCAGTGAAATTCGTTACTTTATTATATAAAAACTACAATACCCTTTGTCTATTTATAATATTATTTTCAATTTTATTTCTTCAATTTTTATTTTAACTAAATAGTAATACTTATTAACAAATTTTATATAATAAAATATAATTGTCAGTGAGGCTAGAAAACGGGGATGAAATTTTTTTCCCCTTAATTATATAAAAACTAAATTATATACTTAAAATAAAAATTGAATAATATAAAATGGGAGAGGGTAATATAATAAGAAAAAGAATTCTGTTTGGTTCATTATTGTAATATTTTTTAGAGTAGTATTTTGAAAAAAATAAAATAGAGTTTAATTGAGTTATTTTAGAAAAGTAATTATTAATGTTTTGAGTTGAATAAAATATAATTGGATTCTAAGAATATTGAAACAAATATATTTTTAAGTTTTTTGGATAGGATGATGGAATACAATAAGATAAAAATAGTGAACCGAGGGGCCCTAAAAACAAGTTTCAATTCTATTAATGGATGTCAACTTTTTGGGAAAGTTTGTGACTTGCCAAAGCCCTTGAGTGTACTCTTTGACTATTTATAATTATAATTTTATTTTTAGTTTTTCTTCAAATATATATATATTTTTTTTAAACTTAAATAGTGAGGCTTCATGTATAGTTATACACTTATTAATTGATTTTATATATAAATTATAATTGTCAATGAGGCTTTAAACGGCCGACGACAAACTTTTTCAGCCCCTTAATTATATAAAAACTAAATTAATAATAAATTAAATCTTATACTTAAATAAAACAGTAATGCTAGACTTACCGATCCAATGACCGATTTTGACATACCGACTCACCTATCCAATTACCCAAATCTCAAAATTTAATTCAATTTACATGAGTCAGTATGCCAAATCGGTAGTTGAGTCGATAAGTTTAGCATTACTGTAAATAAAATAGGATAAGGAAGTATAATGGGATAATGGATATTAAAGTCATTTCACAACAAAGTTTCAGATTCAATCAACATATGTCTACTTTTTGGGTGTGTTTGTGAATTTCAAAAATCCTTGGGTGCTTAATTTTTCTCAAACCACAAGGAGGAAATTGTTATTTCCTCTAAGTTAAAAAGATCATTCATTTATATGAATCAGAAGTTCAAATAATTGTGCTTATAAATTTATAATGTACAGTATTAGAAATTAGTTGCTAAAAAAGTGATAAATCATATACCAAATAAATACTGTAAAAGAGGTTTAAGCCTTAAGGTCTTTGAAGGACAATATGATAAGACACTTAAAAATTAATGAATACTAGATGAAAATATATTGAGTAATACTAAATCAACAACTATTTATCACAAACTTTCTCTTATAACCCTGACGTGATAACTCGCAATTGGTTAGTTTATAATTAATTAATGGGACTCATGCAGGATTCATGTGAGACCCGTTGTGAACTGACAAATTGATAAATGTCACATCAGGGTTATGAAAGAAAGTTTATGAAAAAGGGTTGTTGGTATAGTATTATTCGAATATACTTCATATAAGAAAGAAATTTAGTGGTATTGAAGAGATACCTAATAATATACTTATATTAACTACTTACAAACCTACAAGTAAAGACTTTATTTAATAGTATAAAGAAACAATGTGGAGAAATTCATTAATTTATTTCTCTAAATATATTAATATTCACTGTAGTTTGCCAATTGAATATTTGGCGTATAGTTCGCATGTGGGCCAAGAAACAAAAATTGCCGCAAAAGCGGTTATCTAAAATCTGTGCCCGTCACTCATGCAATTCACAGTCCACCTTTATCATGCCACGTATCAATCGCAGCGCAACTCTGGTCACAGCCTGCGTGTCGCTTAAGCACAAGAAGCTTCCAGTTCGGCTCCCAATAAAACTCACCACGTGTCTTCTATTTCGATACACACTCTTGTCCCTTTCGTGCGTTTCTCCCGCCAACCTCGCTCTCCCTCAAACTCTCTCTCAGGTTAACTAAACTCACTCTTTTTCATACAAAATAACTCACAAAAGAGTCTCTCTATGATGCCAATTCATCAACTTTGGTGCCGAATTTCTTATAATAGGTAAAATTTTGTAACGTTTTGATGAAGGTTTCTGTTTTTTCAGTCATAACTCATACGTTAATTGTATGATTTATTAATGCTATGCTCTGCTGATAATATAATTAACTGGGGTTTTGTCAAAAACCCATTTTTTGTCATTCTCTTCGAAGAGATATGAAGATTATGCTTGAAAGGTGAAAACTTCCATCTTTTTTTGTGCGTTTAGTTGTTAAATTTTGTGTTATTAGAGATGGCAGGGAATTCTGATACAGTGAGGAAAACCCCACCTGGGATTTTGCTTATAAGAAGATTAAGAGGTAGAGATTGGTCTTTAAAAACGTATAGATACATGATTTTGCTGGTTACTTTCATAGCATACGCTTGTTATCATGCCTCAAGAAAACCTAGTAGCATTGTCAAGAGTGTATTGTATCCTGAACCTTTGACGCAGCAACACCCTTGGCCTATGGGCCAACTCTTTCTTAAGCAAGATTTTTTGAGCGTTCATCAAAAGAGATCGAATCATAAAGGTTGGGCTCCATTTAATGGAAGTGATGGGACATCAAGATTGGGGGAAATTGATGTTGCATTTCTTTCTTTTTACTCATTGGGGATGTATGTTGCTGGGCATTTAGGAGATACTTTGGATCTGAGGTTATTTTTGACTACGGGTATGATAGGGAGTGGCATTTTTGTGGGGCTTTTTGGTATGGGATACTTTTGGAAAGTTCACCTGTTTGGTTTCTATCTTGTTATGCAAATGGTTGCCGGTTTATTTCAAGCCACTGGTTGGCCTTCTGTTGTGGCTGTGATTGGGAATTGGTTTGGGAAAAGGAAGAGGGGTTTGATAATGGGTATCTGGAATGCACATACTTCTGTTGGGAATATTACTGGTTCTCTTCTTGCTGCCAGTGTTTTGGATTATGGTTGGGGTTGGTCTTTTATAGTTCCAGGTGCATTTATTGTGATGGGTGGGATCATTGTTTACTTGTTCCTGGCTGCTTATCCTGAGGATATTGGCTTTCCTTACATAGATGGTTCGGTTGCAAATGCGGAGACTGTGCGTAGAGATGAAGAATCCCAGATCAAAGGAAACGAGGTGGAAGTGCAAAATAATATAAGTTCTCGAAAAGGGTCTGGGAGTAGGAAAAGCGTTGGCCTTCTTCAAGCTTGTTTGATACCAGGTGTGATACCGTTTGCATTGTGCCTCTTCTTCGCAAAGCTGGTGGCCTACACATTTTTATACTGGTTACCCTTTTATTTAAGCCAGACAGGTATTTTCCAATATTTTTTTCATCTATTAGCCTTTTTAATTTCATGAAAAAGGAATCCAACTTTAATTACTTATAATCTTCTTGCTGTTTATATTTAATCTGATCAAATGTGGTTCGCTTTGTTCTAGTTATGGACTCCAGGTAACCAGATTAAAAGAGACTGCTATGAGGTTTCGTAATTTGGTCTTTATTCAGAGTCAGAGATTTGGATATTGATTTTGTTAATATTGTGTGATGTCAATCATGTGATTATATTCAGGATGACGCACAAAAAATACAAAAATAAATAAATAAATGAAAAGAAATAAGGAAGTATATATAGCCCAAGTATCTCATGTCTCTTTTCTCCTTCACTGATGCCTAAATTAGTTGTTAAATTCTTAAGTTTCAATTGATCATTGCATGGCCAAAAAAGAGCATCATCGTTGAAAGCAAAGGTTGCTTTCTGCAATCATATCTGTACATTTATAAAATGTAATTAATTTATTTTCTCCCTTTATATTAAATTGCATCTATAATGTTAGTGGATATAGAATGTGTATGATTTTTAATTGGCAGCTCTATCAGAAGTTCATTATGGATCGTATCTGTGTTTTCTAATAATATTACTATTGCTCCATTGTTAAGACACTCTTAAATTGAGCACTTACTATTTCCAATGTTGCTAATTTGCTAGCTTTTATCAATTTTCAAGACAGCCTAGTACCTGCCGTAAATTTTAAAATACTGCAAAGCAATATCCTGTTTTAAGGACTTGTGGTTGTTTGAATTCATTTTATGCAAGCCCTATGCTTCCTTATCTTCTTCAACTCTATGTTTTTACAGAAATTGGTGGAGAGTACATGTCAGTCAAGACTGCTGGAAATCTCTCCACTCTGTTTGATGTGGGGGGAATTGTTGGTGGAATCCTTGCTGGTTATATATCAGATAAACTTAAAGCTCGTGCCATTACAGCAGCCACCTTCATGTATGCTGCAATTCCATGCATGCTCTTATATCGCACATATGGGGGTGTCTCACAGACTCTCAACATTTTACTTATGATGCTTGCTGGCCTATTTATAAATGGACCATATGCACTTATCACTACTGCAGTCTCTGCAGACCTTGGCACACACAGTAGTGTAAGAGGTGATTCTCGGGCTCTGGCAACAGTGACCGCCATTATTGATGGTACTGGATCAGTTGGTGCAGCTCTTGGTCCTCTGCTTACTGGATTCCTTTCAGAAAGAGGGTGGAATTCTGTTTTTGTTATGCTAATGGTTGGTGCTCTTGTTGCGGGGCTTCTTTTGTCACGTCTAGTCATAGCTGAAATCAATGAAAAAACTAGCAAATCCATGACTCCATCCACTGGACAGCAAAATTTTGAAGGTAATTTTGTGATCTATCTTACAAACATGAACAAAGTAGATGCTAAGCTTGGATGTTCACATATTCATCAAGTCAATTTTTCCTTCAAGGTTATTTGATTCTGTTTTCTAAACTTTCCTGACATCTTGATTTTTGCCTAAAGGGATGTCAAATGGTGTATTATTGGTTTAATTTGAGTGTCTAAGGCTGAGTAGTTTCCCACAGTTTAATTCCCATATATCTCATAATCAGACCCTTGAAATGCCTCATTATATCTACATGTGAATCCTCCAAGACTTGGCCAGGACCAAATCTAGAGTATAAAGTAGTGGTAACCTATTTGTTATGCTATTTTCATGGTTGAGGAAATTAACCATGCACATTAATCAACAATTACTGAAAATTAGTTTGTTCAGCACTGAATATGGTCCTATCTAATGTCTCATGTATATCTTCTGAGAGTGTTTCCTGCTGAACTTCAACTGAAGGGTGAGACACAAGGAATAAAAAAAACTGTCCCTATCCATCCTTAAAAGGAAGATGATTTTTTTAACAAAATATTCCGCTAGGGGATAGATGCCTCTCCGTTATGGAACTACCTTTGCACACTCATTCTGGGTTTTATCATTTTGTGGTTAATTTTGATTGTGTTATTTGTTACATATTTAGGATATACATATTTTGTACCACTAAACTCTATTGATCATTTCCTTTTATCTTTTCCGTTAAAAAGAAAACAACGATGCAAGAGTGAGCCTGGAATAATATTTTTATCAATGCACATATAGTGCATTTATAAGTAATGTTGGTTCTAGCTTCTTATCTATTCTGCCTATTCTAGGATCTCATTCATGGGCCATGTCAGGTTATGTAGAATGTGAACCACTGAAACAAGCATCAAAATATTGTTTCAAAATGTGAGATAAGAGAACATCACATAAATGATCTTTGCATGTTTCAGTTTTTGTTGCAGATGCTGATATTCTCTGGATTGAAACGGAACTTGTTGCATGTTTTTGCTTTTTCTGCTAAGTAACATACTTAAAAATACACCTCTTTTGACATCAGTATCATTATTCAAGTTTCAAAATGACATCAAATCATTCAGTTCGTTCCTTTTTATTTTTGCTTGCCAAGGTGAAGGGATTTCGTATATCGTTAAATTATGCTTGACTTATGCAGGTTTTATCTTTTATTTTTCAGGTGCTGCATACCAACCACTTTTGAGTGACCAAAGGTGATGATCAGGGGTATGGTTCATGAAATTATTGAAGTTGGAAGGATTGAGAACAGATGCTACAGATTGAAGTACTAAATTAATAGTGCAGAACAACAGAAATAAAGAAATGTATTTTAGATGGCGTGGTTAATATTTGCAGCTTCAGTCAACTTTTTGTAAGAAAAATAAATGATATGTAGAGTTTATTTATTGGTTCTTTTGTGGGAAAGTGTGGAAGACTTGTTCTAAAGCACACCAAACTTTTGGTTACCAAATTCTGATGAACTGAGTCGGAATCTAATGCAACCTTAGTCTACATGTTTATGGACTGACGCTGGAGATGAACATGCATATTCAGCTAAGGTTAGATTCGACAATCGTGAATTATACTTTTTGTAGTTTATTATACTTTTTTGTATTTTTTTAATTTAAACAAAAATTATAATTTAAGTTTACTTTGTGGTATTTTTGTTTGAAATCTAAAAGCTACGGATGTTGTATTTTGTGCTTCTAAGAGGACTTAGGAACGTGTAACACAACACAAGAACAATCAACAGGCTATATCCTTTTGTGAATTATGAGATGTCTTGCTGTAATTTGAAATTGAAATTAATTCCCCACTTTATTTGTTTTTACTATCATATTTTAGCTTAGAATTAAGATAAGTTCATTGTTACAAGTAATGTATGATTTAATCAGTTTACGTGTCATATTGTTATTAACATGCTAATTATTAATTAAGCTCACCTTTTCTTTTACCCAGTAGACCAATACAATAAGTTCATGCCTAGATGCTCCATTATTCTTAGAAAGCATAAGATTATTAATAATACCCTTTTGATGTTTTTATATTAATTTAACACACCTCAGGTACATTTGTATGATAAAAGAGATTTCGTAGATTTGGATTAAATGCAGGATAAGTTTCCGGCTAGCTCGAGTTGGTCATATTTGGTTGGCTCAGTGTACGACCATCGATGTCCAATAGTGGTGGTCAACAGTCACCGGCTGCCGTTGGTGGCTAGATTCGGCCATTTGTCTTGGGTAATTTGGTGGAAGTGCAAGGGTAATAATATCTTAAAAACATTGTGTATAAGGATAAAATAGTCCATAAATGTTCTTGTAAATTATTTTCAAAACAAAGACATCATTGTCCAAAAAATTAATAGTTAGGGGCAAAATTGAAACAAAATTAAGATTATTAAGTAATCTTAAAATACTTAAAAGAATGGTAGTATTCAGATTATCACCTATATAATCGACAATTATTATTATTGGTTTTAAAGGATTATTAAAATCTTATATTACCTGACAACCAAATATGGTAATGTAAGTAATATAAGATAACATTATTTAAGTAATGTGAAATACCCTTTGGGTGATCTAATGGTAAAAGGCAAAAAAAGGTTCACGCAAGACACTAATAGATGGTCAAACACGAATAGATGACCACTTATTAGTGTTTGGCTACTACTTGAGTTCGAGTCTTTCCAGACATTAATAGACGATTATTAGGATCTTATCTGACTGGTAGTTTCAAAACTTAAGATGATTAATTGAAATATACACAAATTTATTCGAATATCTTGATAATAAAAAAATAAATAAAAAGGAACAAGTGAGTAAATTTTAGAAATGTGAGATAGAGGATAGGGAATAACATTATCACAACACACTGCTCTTTTTTATTAGAAAGAGCCAACAAAAAACGAATGGCTGGCTTGAAAAGACTATACTAATCTTTGACATTTATCCTCACAAAACAATAATACTATACTTATAAAGATTTTCATACAAAAAGTAGTGATAAAAAATAAATAAAAAAATAAAATAAAAAGTCAAACTCATTAAATTCACTCTTTTACTATTTGGTGTGTTCGAATATATTTGTAAAATGTCTTGTAAACGTAGTATTTATGTTTCCCACAACCACGTGTCCACTGTTAATTGTTCTAGACTCTTCCAAATAAAAACACGCGCTTTGCTATCTTACGCCGGTGACTTAAGTCACCCTATCGAAAGAGATTTTATTGTTATGTGATTATTATGACTTATGAGCATAATAAATTTTTTTGTTGCTTTTTTCCGATCATAATATTGTCAAAAAGACAATTAGTACCCTTTGAATACCGAAGCTATAAATACTCACCCAAAATGCAACACCGTTAAAAAGATATAATGGCAGAAGGGCATAATGGTCAGTTTAAATTGCATTAAAAAACTTAAACTGAAAAAATCTAACAAAAATAAAAAAAAAGAATTAATGGTCGGAGTTTCCCGATTGCCGTGGTGGCTGACTCGGGGTCGGCGTTTCCCGATCTGGTCATGCAGATTGGGGCCGTTGTGTCCAAATCGAGGTCTAGCCTTGCACGGCCGGCGTTTTCTGACTTGAATCTGGCTGCGCCAGTTCAGAATTCGGCCAGATCCATATCACCATGAAAGTTCGTTACAAAACAATCCACCTTCATCTACAACAGAAATATCAAACCCATAACCACACACAAAATTCATTTTGGGTTTCTATAAGGGTAAATTGATTTAGGTTGTGTACTACAGGAGGCGGTGTATTGATTTAGCGTCTGGGCATTGTTTTCTTTTAGCTTATGACTTATCTGATGGAGAAAGATTATGAGTCAAAGAGTAGATGAGGAAGAAGAAGCAGAGAAAGAGTTTAAGGTTGAGGCTTTCAGGTTCCAGTTTTTTATTTTTGACCTTTTGATAAGGGTAACAGTGGTAATGGACGAATTGGGAAAGTATAGTTTAGGCATTCAAGGGGTGGCAACTTATACTTTTGGTAAAACTAAGGTAAGAACATGTATTTCAGTCTAAATTTGTTTGTAGGCTTTTTTGACAAAATTATGCATGGTCAACAAAAGAAAAGAATGTGATGTTATAATGATTTAAAGGTGCAACAAAATTTTGATTCAATCCAATGATTTTATTATTGGATCAATTTTTAGTTAAAATACTTAACACATTAGTAGGACTCCAAAATCAATTAGGTAAATAAATTGTCTCAATAATTCTCTTAAATCAAGTAGCGCCATTAGAAAAATGGACTATCCCCACGCAGGCAGAAGAAATTCCAGCATCTTGTTAATATCTCCCGGCAAATCTTTGTTAATCGGAAGTGAAACAAAATTCAAGCCACCTCAATGTGTGGGGGTATTCCAATGTATAGTGTAGAAGAATGATGAGGTTTATACAAACAAAATCCAAATTAAAAGGAGAGATTTGTTGAGATGGGTTTAAACATAAACACTAGATTATTGTATTGGTACTTTGTGATTCTGGTGTTGGTGGAGCTAAGACAAAAGCATCAAAACCCACACCATGATTATTGATTACCTCATGCCCATTACTTAACAACGTGCGCAAAATAAGCTTTTCCACATGAAATGCTACCACTGAACCTTTAGTTTTAGCAAACTTCATCCGCAATTTATTTATTTTTATGATTAAAGTATTTTTAATCTTTGAAGTTTATTGGATACTTTATAAATTTAATATTTAAAAATAAATTACAAATATAATAATTTGCAGAATTTAATATTCAAAAGAGAAATTATAAATATAATAAGCGATTCTAAAGTTAAAACCGAAAAAATCAATTAAAAAAGTCTTTTTTAATAAAATTAGCTGGGAGTTACGTACTTCCGACTTTCCGAGGCTGAGTGCGGACACTTGTATTATTAGTGAAACACCTTCTAGAACTGGGGACATGGACATGGACATGGACATATTTTAATGAACCGGCATTTGATGTTTTTTATTTTATTTGACATTTGTTCTCTAATAAACCTACCAGCTTTGCCCCTTATACCCGACCCGACCCGCCCTTGCAATATCCGGACTTAACCCGCTCCAATCTATGCTCCGACACTTATTTTTAAAAAATAATATTAATTATTTTTTAGTTTATACTTTAATATATTTGTGTAATTATCTTTGAAAAAATAGAGTGTTTCTTTAATTTTGTTTTTCTAATAAATTTCATTCACTTAATGACTTCTGTCCAAATTAATAACCAAAAAAATAAAAATAAATCTAAATATAGTATTTTTATTAACTACATGAAATTAAAAGTTAATTTTTTTTGGTCACGAATTTAATACAAGTTGAAATGTTACCTGAATTGGATTTCGAAATGTCTACTTGGATTGGACGTGGGTGAAACTTTAGATAATACTGTATGTAGAATAGAATTATACGTAATATATAATCAGTAAATTCTCTGAAAAAGTAGATAAAACTTAAAAGCACTAAATTCTCCTACAATACGTGTCAACCACATAGTCAAGTAACATAAAAGGTCCATTCACTCACAGGCTTACAGCTAAACGTACATTTATCATTCTCCTCTATATATCAACCTTTCCACTCTCTCCTTTCCGCCTCACCAAGTTTACTTCTCAATTCTTGCTCGCTCTAACAAAGAAAAAAAGAAGCATCAAGCATGGCTCTCTCACGTGCCATGCTCCTGTTGTTCTTCTCTCTGGCTCTGCTAGCGTTCTCATCCATGGCTCAAGCCCCAGCACCAGCTCCATCAACTACAATATCAATGCCACCATCACCAAACGCCTCTCCACCTGCAACTCCACCCCCAGTTTCCTCACCTCCTTCAATGACCCCAACGAGCTCCCCCGTATCCCCTGAAATGAGCCCCCCAACCCCAGAAACGAGCCCCACATCATCCATGAGCCCACCTTCCCCAACCCCAGAAACGAGCCCCACATCATCCATGAGTCCACCTTCCCCAACCCCAGAAATGAGGCCCACATCATCCATGAGTCCAACTCCTCCACCTCCACCAGAATCAAGCCCATCACCAGGAGGAATGACAATGCCCGACACCCCGGCTAATTCCGGAGCTTTTGTTCGAGGAAATATCATGGCCTTGTTGGCATTGTTTGGAGGAGTAGCTCTAGTTCTCTTTGTTTAGAAACATTAGTGTCATTATTGTTTTAAACTTTTATTTTTCGATGGTGTAGATTAATTTAGATAATTATTATTATTTGTGTATTCTTTATGTTTTCGTCTTTTGGTTGATTTCTAGAGGTCCATCTGTGATTTGTGAGCATAGTTTGGAGATTTTCAATTGGATGTTACAGCTTTTGTGTAGCATTTTGACTTAATAAGAGAGACTTTGTGATCAGTATTTGAGCTTTAAGTGTTCATTTTATGCTCCCTACAATCAATTATACCACATCATGATTTTTCAACAACCATTAACAATATCAACAATTATATATATATATATATATAGTTAGATTTAAATTCATTAGAGCCATTTGACCACAAAAGAGAGAAATGAAAGCATATTGATAAAATGCTAGGTATTAGTATCTATGAAAAGGTTAGGTGAAGAGGTAGATGGAGTTGTGAATGGATGATGGAATTGTTTGTGAAGGTAATGTGGTAGTGGTGGGGAAGGATGGAAAGGGGGAGAAGAGGAAAAGTTAGGTGGTGCTAACTGTTACGGTAGAAAATATGTGGAAGTGAGGGAATTGAAAAGGAGAGAGAGATGATGAAGAGGCAGGTAGCTTTTGGCCCTTTTCTAAGTGAAGGAGAATGGGGTTTCGTTTAGTGGTGGAAGCATATGGAGGGGATGGGTGGTGGTGGGACTGGGAAAGTGATATTCANAGCTTTTGTTCGAGGAAATATCATGGCCTTGTTGGCATTGTTTGGAGGAGTAGCTCTAGTTCTCTTTGTTTAGAAACATTAGTGTCATTATTGTTTTAAACTTTTATTTTTCGATGGTGTAGATTAATTTAGATAATTATTATTATTTGTGTATTCTTTATGTTTTCGTCTTTTGGTTGATTTCTAGAGGTCCATCTGTGATTTGTGAGCATAGTTTGGAGATTTTCAATTGGATGTTACAGCTTTTGTGTAGCATTTTGACTTAATAAGAGAGACTTTGTGATCAGTATTTGAGCTTTAAGTGTTCATTTTATGCTCCCTACAATCAATTATACCACATCATGATTTTTCAACAACCATTAACAATATCAACAATTATATATATATATATATATAGTTAGATTTAAATTCATTAGAGCCATTTGACCACAAAAGAGAGAAATGAAAGCATATTGATAAAATGCTAGGTATTAGTATCTATGAAAAGGTTAGGTGAAGAGGTAGATGGAGTTGTGAATGGATGATGGAATTGTTTGTGAAGGTAATGTGGTAGTGGTGGGGAAGGATGGAAAGGGAGAAGAGGAAAAATTAGGTGGTGCTAGCTGTTACAGTAGAAAATATGTGGAAGTGAGGGAATTGAAAAGGAGAGAGAGATGATGAAGAGGCAGGTAGCTTTTGGCCCTTTTCTAAGTGAAGGAGAATGGGGTTTTGTTTAGTGGTGGAAGCATATGGAGGGGATGGGTGGTGGTGGGACTGGGAAAGTGATATTCACATGCTGTGTTAGCCCCACTAACATTTGTGTGTTTGTGAGTGAAGGCAGATTATTTTTCTTTTTCTTTTTTTAGGTCATAAGAGATTCTTAAAACTTTATTGTACAACTCACTTCCACTTCATAATAAATTATCAGAGGACCTTTAAAATTTGGGAATTTTTTCTTTAACATAATCATACTCTAATAACGCTTAGCCATGATTTCCAGCTTTTGAAAGATTGTTGTTAGAAAAACAACAGACAAGTGAAATCCCAAGTTGTAGTGTAGACAACAAAATTGCATCACCAAAACGACATCATTCTATCTATATTTCATCTCATGTGTTCAAATCGTCTATTATATAGCATAATTATCATCTTAAAAAGTTAAAAGTCTTCATCATAAAGGGTTATTAATGAAAGTTAACATAAAATTGATGTATTTTATATTTCTACATAAAGTTTGTCCTGCAGTATCCAGAAATGATGAGGTGGCTTGTTTATAGCTGAAAATGTAGAGAACTGATTCAATTTGTGGGTAAAGTCTAAAGAGAAATGTAAAGTAGTATGATATGCCCTTGCTAAAGTGAGCCATAAAAGCATTGGATTCCTTTTAGAAAAGCTCTATATCATCAAAACCCTTTTTTATCTTTGCCTTATTCTACTAAAACATCATCTCAATTCAACGCCATATTTGTAGAAATCTCTACCAATCGAGATTTCTTTTGCTTCTGTAAGTTTACCCTTCGCTGAAAATATACTAATCAATAAATCATTTTAGTTTTCTTTTTATCTTGTTTTTTTTTTATTCTGTGACCAAAGAGATGATTGTTTCACTTGTTATGAAAGGCATCAGTCATGTCGATTAGTAACTAAAATGGAGACTTTGAGGTTTGAGCATAGGGACGGAATATAAAAGCGTTAATAAATTAGATTGTAGTACTATGATATGATCAACAAAAGGCCTGACATCATCAACTACATGAGAGTTAAAACAACACAAATCTTCACACTCACATGAATGAATGAAACTGAAAATTAAAGTCCGTCAAAATTCACTCTTCTTTGCTTTACACGGAAACTCAAAATAAAATGTTACATTACTTCCTCGAATGATTTTCGGCTGCACCCGTTTGTATATTAATCATCTTCACTAGTTTGTCTTATACTAAATTAGTTTCGTTATCAATACCACCGGCAAACCATGAAAATGATCCTGCTGGCTACAGAGTAAAGTTTTGAATCCAACCAAAGGTTCAAAACACCTTGGCCAAAAGGGGCATCAGTTAAGATTCTTGTGGTGTGGCGCTTTACTGGAGTCTCTTCTTTCAATTTATTGAACTGTGCATCTATCTTTTTCTTTGTTTTCTTCGGCACTCGAAACAATCAGTACATGTAGGTTTATTTCTACTGGAGTAACTAGCTTGGAGGTTGCTTGGAGGTATTTTCAAGTCTTTTACAAGGATTTCACGTAGCTTTTCATTCTCCTGCATAAGTTCCTCAATGACTTGCTGATGTTTCAATACCTGGAAACATGGGAACTTTTTTGGTGAAGTAGAAGTTAAATGAACCAAAAGATGAGCAACGTTTTATTGGTTAGGCAGATCATAAAAATTATGCATGTTGAGAAAAGCTGCTCTGGAAAAAAGAGCAGAGCAGATAGCCAAGTAACAAAACTCAGCAACTTGTCATATGGTCAATAACAAATTCATTAAAGCAAAGATTAGCAGCTCCAATGACACTTAATTACTAAACTGGGTTAATACTGTAAGGGAATAAAAAAATCCATGGACAAACTACAACTTCTGAAACTTGAGATCACATGAAAACTGCTTTTTGCTAGCATTTTATGGAGTTCCTCCAATGAATAATCAAAATTCTCCAAGGGAACAATAACATCATCCCATTAAATTGATTTGAACATCAGTTAAAAAGTACTTGAGAATGTAAAACATTACCATCTGAAGCAAGTTGTTTTCAGAACGCAAACGCCTTGTCTACAAAAGTAAAATCAACAAGTCAGAACCTGTTTGCACATTCAGGCGTGACATACAAAACAAATACACCAACAATCAAGCTTATGACCAACTTCCACAATATTTAAGATATTATGGAAAAATTCTAGACCAAGGAGAGCTTTGTCAAGGATTCCAGTTGGTACAGTTGTACAGAGACAACCCATAAAATGTAAATATACACTTTGAGCACTCTTTAAACCATTGGTACAATGGCAATATTAACTGATTACAACTAGCAACTACACTTATTTGATAGACAGAAAAATAACCAACTGAAAACTACTAAGCAAGCAGAGCAACAGATTTATACAACTATACATACCACTTCATTTATGTCAGTGCGCTCTTCCTTTAAAACTGGATTTTGTAGAAAACTACTGAGAACTTTTTCGGTTCTGCCAAAAGATGTGTCAACTGGAGTACTTTCATATGCTATCTTTTCAAATGTTGACCCTTTATCCATATTTCCGTAGCCGGGAAGCACAGAGGTGGGCTCTGGAATTTTACCACTCAACTGCATTATATCTCCCATTGGGTTTTGATTTGATGGTTCATTTGTCAATCCCATGCCACTTTGCAAAGACATTGGGAGGACACCTTGACCAACAGACAGATTGGGAGACATTCCAAACTTCATCGCCAAATTTGTCACTGCTTGCTATTAGATTTACATTCCAAATTTCAGAGGCAAGAATAAAAAACTGTAACAGTTAATATATATGTCACAAGATAAAATGATACATACCACAAGACAGGATTGAACTTGATGTATTGCACTAGGCTTCACAGCAAGGCCTACCATGCAAAGACCAAATTTAGCCATCAAATAAATAGACTGTTTATTTCTATGATTGATGGAGCATTAATGAGGGTGAATAAGGAGGTACTGGTATTGTGGTGACAGTTTCTTCACATCAAGAAAAAGAAAAAAAGAAAAAAAAAAAAAGGAGAAGGGGGAAAAACCACCAAAATAATGTTTTTCCCCCTCTTCTTTTGTAAGCTATCCCTATGAAGATTTTATATATTATCCATCCTTCATTAGCAGCAACCTCGAAGCATGAAATGAATTTGCAATGGACAAATAACCATTATATTTTACAGGGAATATATAAAGTAAGTCTCTACATGTTAGTATATTAACTTAAGAGTATTTATTTCTTTAAAACATTAAGTAAATGACATACCGACTCCAAAACCATGGCCAAATCCAACTCCACATCCAATGCCTGCTTGAATGTTCTTAGCGCCCACCTTCCTTAGCTGAAGCATGAGAAATGATAAATAAGTGGACTTTTCACATTAAATAACCAAAATAGTGAAAAAAAGAAATAATAACAAAAGAAGCAAAAGCACATATAAATTACTTACAGCATCATTTACTTGTCTGCTGACACCAGAAAAAGCACCAGTTGCTCCTCTTGTTGCACTCATAACTTGGTTCACCATTGGAATTGCACCTGGAACACAATATAAATAATACTTTGTACGTTAGTAAACTATCACCTACCAATGTAGACGTCAGAATTGGTAAAATCCTGCTCAACTATATCACTTTTTTAAGAAAGAAAGAACAGATTAATTCACCTAACACCATGCAATATCAGTACATTAAATGCATATAATCATATAATGTCTTAATATGTGACCAAAGAGCATATACATTAATAGCATGAAGTACATGTTAAAATGTTAAGAGCATATGTTAACACCATAAAGTGCCCAAGTTTGATTATATCAATATATCAAAAAATGCATTTCTTTATTTCCTTGTAAACAAATTGATAGCTATAATCAAAATTTTTGCTTTTAGTGACCTTATGGGGCACAAGTTAAGCTTCCCTTAACATTAAAAGAAACTAGGAAAATGTATAAGAAAGGATTTAAAAAAGATACAGTATGGACCAGACCACATTGAAGATTTAAACTCTAAAGATGTAAACTCAATCCATATGGGAAATATATATATCTCACTAAATTAAAACATGAGTGCTAGTAAATAAATAATTCTACAATTGAAGGATACATGCCAATCTAACGGAGAAAAAAAATAAAAAATAGGAGAGCCAAGAAGCACGAAAAATGATAGATTATCCAAATTTGAAATGTAGTGCACATGGCTGGAAATGATCCAAATTTAAGAAGCAAGTAAAATGATAATTTAACCAGATTACATCAGTTTCGCTATTTGCAGCAAGAAAAATTGCCAAAAGCACCAGAGGAACAAGACGATTGCAATAAGAAACATTGCTTAAGATCACAACAGCAGACATGGTTGCCTACTATCATTAACCCGTTCTATAGCCTAATGTACAACCATGAAAATATTTTGCAAGTAGGAAGGACAACAAAAGGAAATCCTTGGACCAGCTCAATAGATGAATAATGAATCAATGGTGAATTACTATCTTGGCAACAGTAACATACGAAATTAGGGATGACCAAGAAGGACTGCTAACTTGGACCATTCTCATTGCTGTAGATATCTACTAGTTTGCAAACTATTCAAACTTATTATGCCTGATTATAAAACTCCATATGACATAAAGTTCAATGTCTCTCGCTAACTTAATATGTTCATTGTGTTTAAGAAAGAAATTGAATTTACAAAAGCATCATTTGCCGGGTTACCCAACCTTCAAGTGTTAACATAATTGAAAAATCGACTCAATTTCAAGGTTTCGTCATTGACACTATTGCCAATTCATCAATAGTAGTATTATAACCTTGCCCTGTTCCCTTCTTCTCGGCATCACTTGGAATAATGAAATATTAAGCTATAATACTCGAACAAAATTTACACTAACCAAACGCAATAGCACATAAAAAATCAATTTCAAAATAACTCAAGAATTTTGATAGATATAGGCTATAACAAATAAGTAACTAAAAACAAAGTGACAGAAAATGATGCATACATGGTTTCTTAGCAAGAGATTGTTGATGGGTTTCTCCACTCTTGGGCTTAAATAAACCTCCCAAGTCATTCTTTCAAACAAAAACAAGATTCAGATACAGAAACTTAAATATTGCACATATTTAGAGTTTGAGTAATTGGGATTGTACCAAGATTTATAGGGCTACCATATCCGATTCCAACACCACAACCGATGCCAAAGCCAGTAAAAATTTGAAACACTTTGAAAGTAAACGGATTGTCCATTCGAATTCCTTGAAAAGCCTTTCTCTGATTGGTCACCGCCATACTATTGCTATTGCTCTCCATTTTCTGTGTCACGAAGCTAAAGTATTTACTCTGTCTTTTGTTTCGTTATGAACTAATTCTGAATCAAAACACTGGAGCTGTATGTAGCAATGTACTTTTATTGCCACGTAAGCAAAATATTGACTATGTTTATTTTGGGTCAGTATCTAACTTAGAAGATGTACCTAATTTCCCAACAGAATGTCAATTTTCAAGAGTCTGGGCTATATGTAACCCCACTCAAGCCCAGCCAAATTTATTTATGAAAATCCCATAGTTGGAAGACGATAATAAATAATTAAACCAAAATTATAACTCTAATTTGTTAAAACCAAAGTATTGACTATTGAAAAACCCCCTCAGAGATAACAAAGTATTAACTAGAAAAATGAAAACCAATTTCCCTTAAGTCAACACACTCAAAGAAAGGAAGGGTAATCACGTAATTTTGTGAGATAAAAATATATGAACCCATCATATTCAATAGAAACAAGGACAATTGAATAGGTTCGCACATGAAAAAAAATCATAACCCTTGGATCAATCCAAAGAAACCTTGATCTATGGGCAATATAATTTTTTACCAAATTAAAAAAAAAAAAAAAATTCTCTTCTCCTTTCTTTCTTCTCTCCTTTTCACTTCCTCTTTCTTTTTTCATATTTCAATAAACAATAATATTATACAAAATATTTTTACAAAAATATTCATGCAAAATGATGCGATAAGAAATAAATAGTAAAAATACAAAATCAAACTTTGTATATTTGTTATTCCATTCATTTTTAAACCTTATACTTCACATGTAAATTTTTATAAGATAGATTTTATATGAATAATAAAACTCATCATTCACTTTCTTTTTCTTTTCCCTTCCATTCTTTCTTTTCTCCTTTTCCTTTCCTTTCCTTTCCTTTCCCTTTCCTTTTCCTTTTCCTTTTCTTTTTCTTCTATTTTCTTCCCATGTCTCTTCTTCTACGCTTAGTACGCTAGAAGTCGCGATGCCAGCACAACCCGCAAGTTGGACTGGCGACGTTGCAACCTCTAGCCAAGAGTTGGGTTAGTTGTGGCGCCACCAACCAAGCTTGCAGCTAGAGGCAGCTTCACAGCTAGCCAACTTGCGACTGTGACTGTGACACCGACAACCTCTATCTCTTCTCGTACACAATTTTTTTTGTTGAATGTTATGTTTTGTGGGTTTTTGGTTTTCGAGTTTATGTTTTGTGGATTTTCAGTGGCCGGAGCATTTGAGATTTCTTTTTCAAAAACGGGTATTGTGGGATTGTTGTTGGATATGGTGTTGTGCGGGTTTGTGAAAAAAAAAATTGTATATGAATTTTGTCAGAGGATTTACAATCATTTAATCAGTATGTATGTATTTAATAAGCATTTCTTTGGTTTTAACGTGCTCTTTTATTGTTAAGTTTACTTCGACTTTTACTCTTATTGTTCTTAGCAAAAAACACAGCAGTTGAATTGTCACAATACAATCTTATCGGCCTAGAGATAGACTCAACAACTCCAAGCTTATGAATGAAATTTCTCACCATATATCCTATGTAGTAGCCTCAAAACTGAAAATAAACTTAGGTTCCATGGTAGAAGTGGGAATAAAAGATTGTTTGACACTTTTCCAAGATATAGCACCATATTTAGATGTTGATTTCCGAGAATCAACACAACTAATGAAATTTGAGTCTGAATATCTAACAGCCTTCAAATGTCAGATCGTCTATATGTAAGCACAAAATTTTTAGCCCCTTGAAGATACCTCATTACCTGCTTTGCTGCTCTCCAATGATATAAACCTTGATTGTTTTTATATCTTCCTAACATTGCAACTACAAAAACAATGTAAGTCTAATGCAGACTTGAGCATATATTAGACTTCCAACAGCTGATATCTTCCTAACCCTCAAAATTATAAAGCAATACGAAAATGAAGGCTTTTTTTTTTTTTTTTTTTTGTTGGCTTTGCAAATTTTAAAACCCAAGGAACCAAATAAATCTTGGGGGGTTAATGGTATCACTCCAATACTTGTAAGTTTTTGAATTTTTTTTCAGAAAATTACAAGTAAAATATGGTAAAAGCCGAAACTAGCTCTTACTCATAAAATAAAACTACAAATAAAGGACAATTTGCTCTTTACCTTTAAAAAAATATTACTAGTATACCTTGTAAAAAAAATTTATCCATTCAATATTTTCGGAAAGTAATCCTCAATCAAGTCGTTCCAATTTGAAACGATCTCGTTTCATGACATCGTTCATGGTTCTACCCAAAACAAAGCAAGCATCTAGTTGAGTTGAAACTTAAGTAAAGAAGGAATGAACGTTCCAGCAAGTCGTTCCAAACATCTGAAGACTTATCCAAAAAGGATAACACACATCTGCGAGTTGGACATCATTTGTGATCTAAGAAGGAATGACCAAGAAGAAGGACCATTCTTTCATCCCATTCCACATGAACGACTTTGTTCTATCATCTCATTCATAGCTTTGGAATCTTGACACTCTTTGTGATGTGAAGAGGAATGCATGTTCGATGAGAGGTATTCCCGTTCCATGAGAAGAATGCTCATTCTAAGCTAAAATCAAGATTTGCACTTATAATTTTTTGAGCTTAAGTCAAGGTTGCGGAAACTTCAAAGCAAACAAGAACAACCTCAATGAACGCCCATTCTCAGAATTATTCAAGCCGTTCTGGGAAGGAACGATACTATTCTAGGAAACTGTTCAAGATTTTGGAATTTCTAAACATCAAGAGATACAAGATGGAACGCTTATTCACAATTAGTTGTGGCCAGATGGCAAACCCTTTAGCCACTTGGGTTAGCTATACCCAAAATGTATTGTGTTCAAGTCACATGAGAGATACCTATTACATTTGTGCAATTACCTTGGTCTATTGGGCTTATAGAATGTTTCACAATCCTAAGGATTAGATAGACTCTAATGTAAGTGGGGATACCTTTTATATATATATATATATATATATATATATATAATGGGGTTACTGGTAAAATTAATGGAGGTTAAAATTATTTCCATTAACTTATTTGATTGTCCACTTGTGTGAAGGCCTTTTTGGGCTTTTGGCCCAAACTTAAAAGACGTTGCGCATCAAAGCCTTTTTCGCGGGTAAAATTAAAAATCCGGTTGAATTTTACCGTTTTATGTCCACCACTAATTTCGTGGGTAATCTGGGTATCCCCTGAGAAATAATATCGTCACAAAATCTGCATAGTCATTACAAAGCATCAATGGCCGTGGCCTCTTCATCTCCTCCGTTCTTGAACTTTTCTCTTTTACCTTCTTCTTCATCTCATCTTCATAATAGAGCGCTTCACTTTTCGCAAAGCTATTCGTGGTTTAATTTTCGAACCAGAACCAGAACCAAACCAATTCATGTATCAAGCACTAAAGCTGAAGGGGATGTTAGGAAAGAGGATATTGTCATTGTCGGTGCTGGGATTGCTGGACTTGCTACTGCAGTATCTCTACAAAGGTCAGATTACATAATAACCATTAAATAAAACGTTGCTTAATCTGAGCTAACTTTTGTATGGCCATTTGTTTGAAGTGAAAGAAATTATGGAATTGCCATGCTTTAATCTTTCTTCCTTGAAATAATTATTTGCAATGCTTAATTGGCGAATTCTAAATCATTAGGCTTGGAGTTGGGTCATTGGTGCTTGAGCAAGCAGATTCACTTCGAACTGGAGGAACTTCTCTCACCCTTTTCAAGAATGGATGGCGTGTTTTAGATGCAATCGGAGTTGGAAGTGACCTCAGGAGCCAATTCCTAGAAATTCAAGGGTATATCTTGTTTCCCTCATAGACTTCTTGAACTAAGATATATAAAATTACCTTCTTCTTCTCTTAATGCATCATTTATTACCACCGAGTTCTGGGATCAGCGGTGCAGGATGGCAATAAAGTCCGAAGATGGAAGGGAGATGCGTTCCTTCAAGTTCAAAGATGAAGATGAAAGGTAATCCATGAAGTGATCATCCTATATACTGTCCCAATCATTTATATTATCTTTAATTGTTCCATCAGTGGTGCAGCCAAGAGGTCCGAGCGGTGGAAAGGAGAATTCTTTTGGAGACTCTTGCCAATCAACTGCCTCCAGAGTCGGTCCATTTTTCTTCAAAACTGGCTAAGATAGAAACATGTGCAAACGGCGGCACTCTTTTGGAGCTAGTGAACGGGACTCAATTACATGCAAAGGTTACATAGATATTATGTCAATTTCCCGGTTAAATTTTATTGTTCAGAATATCTTGATCTCTAATTTGAGTTCTTGTCATGTTTCTACAGATAGTTATTGGGTGCGATGGGATTCGTTCTCCTATAGCTAAGTGGATGGGATTCTCTGAGCCTAATTATGTAGGTCATTGTGCTTACCGTGGGCTCGCATATTATCCCAGTGGGCAGCCATTTGAACCAAAAGTTAATTACATCTATGGAAGAGGATTGCGTGCCGGATATGTTCCTGTTTCTCCTACAAAAGTTTACTGGTTTATCTGCTTCAACAACCCATCTCCAGGTCTTGCACTTGCTCTGTATGAGTTAATCTGAATTCATTCATCTAGTGCAAAACATTAACAAGTCATTCTTACATCCTCTAATCCATTATCTTTGCCTAAAATAATGCTATATGAAATCAAATATATGAAACAATTAAATTTATTGATCCCTCTGACTTCAATATCGTAATGTGGTTTCTAGTAGTATGTATTAGATAAAAGTAACTCAAAGTTACTGCATTATCTTCAGAACCTATTGCTACATCGCACAAACTTTCTAGTTCTACTAAATTGTTTTAACAATCTAAGACGTCTCTCATTGCAGGTCTGAAAATTACTGATCCAATTATGTTGAAGAAGCAAGCTAAAGACCTAGTCAGGAACTGGCCAGTGGAGCTGTTGGACATTATAGATCTTACCCCAGATGAGACAATAATCAGAACTCCCCTTGTAGACCGTTGGTTGTGGCCATCAATAAGCCCTCCTGCTTCAAGAGGAAGAGTTGTGCTGGTAGGAGATGCCTGGCACCCAATGACTCCAAATCTAGGGCAAGGCGCTTGTTGTGCACTGGAGGATGCAGTAGTTCTTGCAAAAAAACTTGCAAATACAACCAAGTGTACATCTGCATCCGTGGAAGATGCTCTCAGATCATATGAAAGTGAAAGATGGCCTCGTATCTTTCCATTGACCATACGTGCAAATCTTGTTGGATCACTTCTGCAATGGGAAAACCCAGTTGTGTGTTCTGTTAGGAACAAAATTATCATACCAAAGGTAGTCAGACTTGGACCAGTGTTGGACCATACAAATTTTGATTGTGAACCTCTAATGGAAGGCATAAATGGTTAAGATTTCAGGTCCACAAGCTGTACTTTTCAGGGAAGACTTCAGACATTTATTTACCAACAGTATTAGCTAGTGGAACCCTTTTGGAAAGCAGTTTTTTTCTTTGTATTCCACTGCATAAAGACCTTTATATATTCAACAACACAACATATAATACTGTCTTTATACGTTCATCAACACTACATATAATAATCTTTACAAGTGTGAAATATTAACAGCATAATAGTAGAGTCCGGTACTTGATGCTCTCTAACTCACTAGTTTCATCTAGGAGTAAGTGGTTCTGGGTACCCTGCATTTTTCGGGGAAACTGAAACCTGGAAAGTACAGTGCTGGTTCCAAAAAAAAAAAAAGAACCAAAACCTGAAATGTAGGTTCCGGTTCTTAAATTCAAGGAACTGGAACCTGAAATGCAGGTTCCCGTTCCTTACCCGGGTACTCTGTAAAAAATCAATTACCCCCTATTAGTTTAGAAAATGACAAAAATATCTTAAAAGTTCACTAATACACCCTTAACAAATTAAGAAAACCTATATTTAGTAGTTTTCAACTTTTGATTACTCATTCATTTGTGTTCAATGTGACTCATAAATGCTCTAATCTCTAGGCAACACTTGAATTCAATCAAATTCATCACAATTCACATAAAATTTCTCAATCAAAACAAAAACACAAACAGGTTCCAAGACAGGTACCTGCTTCAGCCTTCAGGTTCTTTTCCTAGGTTTCGGTTCCGAAACTTGTAGGAATTGGAACCAGAACCGCATAGTTTCGGTTCCAATAAAATGGAACCATAACCTACCCACACAGTGTCTGTTCCAGGTAGGTTCCAGTTCCGGTTCCGGTTCCGGTTCTACCCGCAGGTTTCGGTTCTACCCACTACCCATGCTGACCCCTAGACTTTCATCATACAGTGGGAAGCAATGGCTTGTACCAATAATCAGCTAGTAAAAAGACACCTACATAGGAGAGGTTAATGAAACTCATAACTATATCTAGAAAATCATATGCTACACAATGGATGAGTTTATAAAGCTTAATAGTCCCTTGAAGAGTCAAACTATTTATAAGTATTGCTGCCATGCCATGATAAATTTAACATAAAGGAAAACCAGAGACATTACCTGAAGCTCTTGTCTATTCTGACCAGAGAAGTCAGCGAGATAGAGCCATTAGTAGGTGCCTACTGATCTTCAGCTCCGCAATATCAAGAAAAAAACCAACCACCTGCAAAAATGGTGTTGCTCCAATACCTGAACCCTACAGGAACCACTTAAGTGACCGCAGGGTCTGCTACATTGTAAAACAAGTTATCAGTTAACTACCCAGAAAATCTCCACAAAAACAAACCTGTCACTCTATACTGAGTTAGACTTGAGCCAATTTACTTGCCACAACTGATGGCACATGAGTTTGCTCTATGCTAAATGAAATACAACAACTCTATTTCCTATCAACCAAAAATCTTTAGGGCATCAGATTTTAATAGAAATGTATGAACTAAGAAAAATTATAACTGAAAGGCTACAGGCATATATAACTGATCATTTTCTGCAAGAAAAAGAGAGCTTTATTCAGCATTTCAAAACTATAAAACTGTTCATGAGTCAGACTGGAAGTTACATCAATCTATCAAAAAATACATAAGCTAGTGTATTAAAAAATTTTACAATACAAATAAATCATCAATAGTTCATTTTTCCCTACAAGATGATGACCTCATCGACACAAAAGAAAAATCTGTATTTGAATTCTTTTCCTCCATCTTGTCAGTTTTTGACTCACCAGATCCTTGTTGGATCAGAATCTTCCAGCTTCAAGTTTGTTAGCAAACCATTCATGAACCAACAGCAACCATCTCAACCATATATTAAGCTTCACGTCCTTGATTCTGCCAACAGTACAAGACATCGCCTTTATTTAAAACATAAACTACGGCGTGCAATATAAACACATACCAAGTTCACTTTCTTCTAAAAGTCCCTTATAATTATTAAAAATTTACAACCTAAAGTGAAACAGAATTCACTTCCTGCCTTCAAACAAACAAAAAGGGAAAACAGATAGGAAAAAGTAATGAATGACTTGATGAAAACAATTTCAAGCAATCAAATCAAATCAACTGAAAAATTGAACAAATAAGCAAATGTGTTCCCCTGAAGTTTGTAGCTAGAATGGCAAAGAACAAGGGTGTATATAAAAAACTGTCAGAAAAATGTTAATTCTCCTGCAAAAATATCTTCAACATATTACTCAATAAAACCCTAAACCCTAAAAACATATAAAGCTACAAGCCGCCCTCAAGTCTATCAAATCCGATAAACAAAAACTAATAAGTTTTCCAATGCAATCGATTGCTTCGATAAAAAGGACGAATTAAGATAAATTTAAAAAAAGAAAAAAAAATACCGTGGTTGGAGAAGAGCCAGAGAACGATAGCGCAGAAAACAAGAACAATAGGGATGACATGGACCGCGTTCTCCGCAAATCTGAGCCGAGAGCGCTCTCTCTTGGCAGCGTAAGAGAGGGGATTGTATGTTGGGAGATTATGATCTAGCTGTGCGGGTCTCCGACTAAGAGATTTCGATGGTGATGATTTGACGAGCAACTCCTCTATTACACGCGAACTGCTCGACGATCGTAGCATCTTTGTTTTCAATCTTTTTAATGCGCTTTTACCCTTTCTTCCCTTTTATGAAATGGAACAACAATGAACAACCCAATCTAACGGTTGTTGTTTACTTTTTTTTTTTTCAACTTCTGTAATTATAAGCACAAACTTTTTTTTTTTACGAAAATCAACATAATTTAAAAAATTTCTCTCCCAAATAAATACCGTCGGACAGACTTTTGAACATGATTTTGATTTTGATTTATTAAAATCAGTACGCTTTTTAGAGAATAACTTGAATTTATAATAATATCCAATTTGTCAATGTAAAAACTATGGAAAAGAAAATTAATATAAGTATTTTATTATGATTACTATTCAAATTAAGATATTTATTACTCTATAACTTTGTATTCTCGGACAACGAACTCTCAACCTAATTATAAATCCTTTTAATATCTTAGCAAGTTAACTTAAATAAAAATTTATTAATAAATATAAACAGTTTATTAACCCAAGTTCAGTAAGGAAGAACTTCTAAAATATATATATATATCTTGAGCTGCCTTGGTTGGCATTTGAACCCTCACGAGCGGCAAAAACAAAGCGTCTTTTTTCATTGGACAGCGTGTGTTAGATCTGGTACTATGCATTCATCATAGCCGTACATCACCTTCTGTCCACCATATTTGAATTTTGACACTCTTCAACAAGGAAGCTTATAGGCACGCGCCTCTAATGAGCGTGTTCCAATGATTATGTGAACACGAACAAAAGAAGAAGCAATCGGTTTGGTTTGTCGTAATCACTAATCAGTTCGTGTCAAAACTCAAACGCGCTTTCTGGGCATTGAGACCCAGGCTTCATGCAGACGTACACGTAACGTAATTGAAGAGGCTAGGAAACAACCCGCTTCCTTCCTCGACACCTGCCCGTGAGTACAATACTTTTAACTAATAACATGACCAAAATAACCTTAATCCGTACAATTTCTTTGTATTTTTTTATTTTGTAGGTTTTTTACAAGTTTCAAGCATTATACCCTCTCACCAAGAGTTTTCGCACACCCAATAGTTTCAAAAAGTGACAATTATACCCAATTTTTTAACATCATTAAATTTTAAAGGTTAAAAAAACAAAATATTAAATAATCTGAATTGAAATTTTTTTAAAATTTCATTTCCACTTGAAATAATGTCCAAACTCCAAACACCTATTTTCTTTTTCTTTTTTTCTCATCATCTCTTCATTGTATCACCACTTGACACATGTTCAAACATTTGAAGATATATTTTTTCTTTTTTTTTTTCTCATGCATCCAATCTTTACCTCTATGAATGTATTCAAACAAACTCAAACACTCGTCCTCAAACCTATTTGGTAAAGAAGAAAATCATAATAATAAAAAAAATCCAAAAATCTACCACATCTTTTGTTGATGCTGATTTTGACACTAACGACTCACAAGTGCAAAGTGCTAAGCAGACTTAAAAATTATACGTGATATAAAAACATGAAATGAGAGAATGAATGAGAAGCGATTTTTAAAGTGGTTCGGATGCTCAAAAGCGAATCTTACGTCCCCTATTGTTGTATTAATAGATGGGTACAGTTAGGTCGCGCGTGGCGAGTTGAGTTACAATCTAGAGAGAATACAGAGAGAGAGAGAGAGAGAGAGAGAGAGAGAGAGAGAGAGAGAGAGAGAGAGAGAGAGAAGTCTGCAAGTGGGTAGGTGCCGTGTAAGTTCTTCCTTGCATCCCATTGGTTATCTACATGAGAAATATCCTTAAATTGCGCAGTGCTTGGGCAGGTAGATGATCCCTGGCCACTCGCAAGCCTGACGTTCACCTGCTGCACTGACAAAAACCATACCTCTTCCGTTACTGTGCGACGTGGCAACGTTTGGACGACACAAAACCTTCCTGAATCATGATTGGCTCTTGCTAACGAGAGTCCACGTCAGCCTTAACTTTTTAGGCATAACAAAAGTCCCCCAGTTTTTAAGGTTTAAGGATTGAACCTTAAGAACTTCATGATTATGTTGCGACTTGACTTGTCCCGAATGACGTTTGGTCAAGCTGATTGAGTTGCAAAGAGTTCACAGCATACGCCTCTAAGGATAGCATAAGCGACATGAGGTGACCTTCTCCCACAAGTTAAACAACTGGAATCAGGCCCCACTCAGTGTCATACCGACATGCTTTGAATCTCATCTATGGTTTTGCGACCTGAGAATACTTAGCACATTTTTATTGAAAGCAAGGAATCGCATCGTCTCGAAACCGATACGCGGCGAAGAGTGTTTTACCCAAACGACCTCTTCAGATGTTATTCGTTGCGCTTGATAGCTAATATGTTCAATAAAATAATCTTTATTCTGACAGACGTGTCTAGTGCGCAATAAGTGCCAGCCATGCGCATTAAATGCAAGTAATGCTGAAACGACATTCTCTTTCAAAGCATTAAATGCAGATGAGGGCGCATTTAATGTGGAGGAGATAATTAAGCCGTCGTTTGGTTGCTCCAATAAAGGGAAGCATCGATTGGCACTCTCGAAGCGTGGCAATTACTTCTTCTCATGGATTGATGACACGTGGTCACAATCAATGGCAAGAAACGTATCCCGCCCAAGCGTCGCTTGCCTAGGGAAATCAATCATCGCTTCTTCCCCCTATAAAACCTCAGGCTCACCTCAAGCTTTGTCACAAAACTCATACTTTTAGAGAAAGAACAAAGCTCTCATGAAATCAGTCTCCCCTTTTTTCCAGTTGATGCATACCTTTCATTATGATAGGAAGTCCATTCCCCGTAGCCAAGAGGTAAGAAAGATTTCTCCTCACTTTATTTTACTATTTTGTTAATAGCTTGACTTGATGATAGTGGTAGGTATGAACTGTCTGGTAAACTTTCGTGGTGCGTATTTTCAGGCAATGGTGAGAAGAAGACTTTTTCTTTCATAAAGAGTGAAAATCTAGGGCACGAATCCTTGAGGGTTGATTCCCAAGGGGTTTTAGGGTTTTTCTAGGGTTTAAGGAGGGTACATTAGGGTTTCTTTTGCTCTTCCATGTCATTGTACAGAATACTGTACGAAGAATGAGTTATCTCTGTGTGTCACCCTTTTTTCATACCTCAGGAGCAATGGATGCCTCAGCGACCAGAGCAGTCGAGGGGAAGAGCTCACAGGCATTAGATGCCCTAACGGGTCCCGTGTAAGAGATTTTGTCAGTGGCCACCCGAGATGAGATACAAAAGACAGTGGACCAATACACACTTAGTGTGGACGTCTACCAGCATATAATATATATAGCTCGGAATCCCTTAGAGGGAAATGGCCGTGATCTCGGAGGTGATCTTCGAATGTGGGGCGTTGATACCTTTTCACCCCTTCATTAGATCGATCATCGATCACTTCGACGTCGCGCCATTGCAATTGATGCCCAATGCGTATATGATAGCTGTTGCTATGTATAACGCATGTGGCGAGAATGACCTCGGCTAGCTGACAGCGCTGGAGCTCGCATGCTCTTATTATCGAAGAAGAGCAAGAATAAAGACTTTTTTTTTTATCCCTCGAAGCGATCTACGATCGAGGGAGGAATATTTGGTTACCCCAGTAACGTTGG